TATTTCTCCTTTATCAGATAGCCAGTAATTTGTCTGAATTTTACGTGCTTCATGCAGGGACAAACCATGTTGCTTGAGGAGGTCTCATCACCTACGCCGTACCCAAATTACTGTGTTATTTATTTCTACCAGTCCTGTGTTCTGTGTCTCTACCACAGTTGGGCATGCATGGCACAATTTAATAATGAACCTTCATCCACTCTCCCTATCTCCTTCCAAAAACATATTAATGTATTTTGTTGCTTAATAGTGGAGTTGTATTTCTGTGAAATTTTGTCCTCCTCCTTTCCTCTAGTCTAGTGCAGCATTAGAGTTCAGACCACACTATATATTGAATTTGGATTTTACAGCTGAAATCATGGTAAGGGCTCTGAAATGAGTTCTAATTTTGCCTACGTATTTTTATTTTATAGCTGCTTCTTCTTCTTTGCCTTTCTAGAGTCAACAAGCCCCATTTTTCTTTCTCTCCCTTTTCTATGTCTGTGATCATTCTTGCCATGCTTTTATTCTGCAGTATCTTTCTGTTCAAGAGAAGGACCAACAGTGTTCCAGATAAGTCTGTGCTGTTGTTTCATGGAGTAGTTTTAATATTTCCCATCCCTTTACTTTGTCAGCTATTGTGTCAGCAAGCCTGCCCTGCATTGAGCAGGGCATTTCACTGAGCTGTACATATATAGTGTTCAGGTTCCCTTTCTGAGAGCATATGGTTAATTTGGAAGCATATAAAGTAGTAGTTTATATGCTTTTCACCAATATTCATTGATTTCCATTTGCCTACATTGCGCATCACTAGCCATCAAACGGAGACATTAATCTAGTTGATGGGGGTCGTCACCTTGAAGTTCCTTGCGCTCCTCTTGTTTCTCCTGCCCATAGTACATTTTGCCATCCTGAGATCTTCTTGGATATCACTGCTCTTTCTTTTATCAGCATCATTAATGAGAGGTTTTGCTATGGAATCCTGAGAAATATTGTTCTTAATCTTTTGCAGTGAGGAAGATGAGGGTTTAATTCCATTCTTGTTTTCTGTCTTCTAAGAAGCTAGTTTTTAATCCAAAATAGCTTTTTGAAGTGTAAGTAAGGTATACAACTGTTTCCTCTATTCAGGGCTCCACTGGTGTACTCAAACCATTCCAGGAGATTATGAACATCTAATTCCAGTATCTATTAGCAATGTCTAATTCCAAACTAGTAGTATCTAATTTCAGGAGATTAGTGACATCTGGAGAAGCCATTTCAGTTTGAAGTTTAAAGAAATACTGCACCTAATGGTTTTTAACCAAACTTTCAGGAACTGATGCAGAAATGACAGGTCTGGAAATCCACCTACAGTGTTTGAAATATAGAAAGGCGTTGTTCACTACTCTCTAGGTTCAAAAGCAATATGTCTTTTCAGTGAGATAGTACCTGTTGTTGGTAGCAAATTATCTACATCATCCCTAGACTTCAGAAGGTTTCTATTATCTCATACTTTTTTTGTTTTCGAAGAGTTCTTCATAAACTGGATGACCCTTGTTTAAGAACTGCTGTAGGATAGACATCAATCTGATTGTGAATCAGCAGAACTAATCACAGAGTTATTGTTGTGTTAGGTGGCAGAACTAGTCAAGATCTTAACTCAGTACTAACTTTGTGTTAGAAATACCTCCTTAGAAAAAAGTTAATGCTTTGTTGCTTATCTTATGAATCGTTCTGCTTTTCCCACCATCAAGCTTTTAAAACCTTGAACTAGAATAAAGTGGAAGTTTAATGGGGGTACATGGAAAATGCATGATGCTGTTCAGTGGAAGAGTGACAATTTACCCTTCCCTTCTTCAGTGCGATAGAGAGTTCTATTTTGATTAAAAAAAAACCCCAAAATTATTTGGCTGAGCTTTGGAGAAGGGACTATATGAGGCAGTAAAATCCAAGCAGCTTATGCCACCTTACTCTTGGAATATGTTTTTCATGAGGCTTATAGCTCAAAGGAGTGGAAATGAAATAGGTAGCAAGAGGAACTATTAGTAGGAAGAAGCAATTTGCTACTGTGCCTTACTTTGTGTGTGTGCATAACAACTTGTCAAGCTTGCTTCTCTGTTTTTAAATTAAGTGGCTGTGACACTCTGGCTGCTGCCTTGTAGCCTCCTGTTTTAACTTCAAGTCTTGGAACTTGGGCAGCGAGACAGTGTAAATTGTTGAGTACTTTTGCAGATTTTAGTAACCTGAATTTTGAAGAAATCAGTAATAACAGAAGGAAAACCACGTTTTCTTTTTACCTTGAATTATGTTCAAATTCATATATGAGAAATGAAAGTTACTTTCCATTTCTTGGAAATGGCACAATCATACAATCATAGAATCATAGAATGGTTCGGGTTGGAAGGGACCTCAAAGATCATCTAGTTCCACCCCCCCTGCCATAGGCAGGGACCCCCTCCACTACGCCAGGTTGCTCAAAGCCTCATCCAACCTGGCCTTGAACACTTCCAGGGATGGGGCATCTACAGCTTCTCTGGGCAACCTGATCCAGTGCCTCAGCACCCTCACAGTGAAAAATTTCTTCCTTATATCCAATCTAAATCTGCCCTCTTTCAGTTTAAATCCATTGCCCCTTGTCCTGTCACTACTTGCCCTTGTAAAAAGTCCCTCTCCAGCTTTCCTGTAGGCCCCCTTTAAGTACTGGAAGGCTGCAATAAGATCACCCCGGAGCCTTCTCTTCTCCAGGCTGAACAGCCCCAACTCTTTCAGCCTGTCTTCATAGCAGAGATGTTCCAGCCCTTGGATCATCTTCGTGGCCCTCCTCTGGACCCACTCCAGCAGCTCCATGTCCTTCTTGTTTTGGAGACTCCAGAGCTGAACGCAGCATTCCAGGTGGGGTCTCACGAGAGCAGAGAAGAGGGGGCAGAATCACCTCCCTCGACCTGCTGGCCACGCTCCTTTTGCTGCAGCCCAGGATATGGTTGACTTTCACTGGCCTCCACTAGGACATGGAACCATTGACCACAACTCTCTGAGTGCGACCATCCAGCCAATTCCTTATCCACCGAGTGGTCCATCCATCAGAACTATGTCTTTCCAGTTTAGAGACAGGATGCCGTGTGGGACAGTATCAAATGCTTTAATCACCAATGCACTATTACATGTCATCTATCTAATTCTGTGTAACCAAGTATGTAATGGGATCAGTAATTATAACTAAAAAGCGATTTATAAAAAATTTTCCTGGAGATGAGATATTTTTGGCATCATACCTATTTTGAAACTTAGTCATTTGGCTAGTTAATTTATTAAAAACAATGTTATTCTCTCAAACGCTGAATCGTTTTAAAAGAAATCGTGTTCATTGATGCTTATAATGGATATACGTTAACTTATACATAAATGATTTGGCAAATATTTTTTAAACAGACAAAATTGATTCATTTTGTGAGACTGTTCCAGCTAACATTTTTATATGTAGTTATGTTTTCAGCATAAATATTCTGCACTTTAGGAACTAATTCTTCTGAGTGAACATTCAAATCTGAGAGCAGGTTGAAAAATCCCTCTTTATTTTTCTATATCAATGTGTCATAGAAATGCCCATTTTTTACCCAGTAAAACTTAAGTTAACCAGTATATACAGGGCTCAGTTTAAGGTGAGATGTATTTATACAACGATCGACCTGCACTGAGGTAAAATTAGTAATGGGAAATGCTAACCAGATTTTCAGGTGTTAAATGATGCTTAAGGGCTCTATCTAGACTTGTTTCGTTATTTCTGAGTGAAAACATTATGTTAATTTATTTTGTATTTTGAAATATATTCAACAATTTTTAAAGTTGTATATCATTCCCTTTAGTTGTCTGAGAGTTGAGTGGAGGGTAAGTCAGTTATATAGTTTTTAAGAAACTGAGTGCATAACATAGACCTGATAATGGATTGTGAGCTTTCCTTCAGGAATAATTTAGGGCAGAACATTAGTTTCTGTAATATTCTGAAATCTATATTTCATTTGCTGCTAAAGCTGAATGTTGTATCGTCAGTGAGACAGAGGATTACAGGATTACAGGTGAAAAAGGGACAGTAGATGGTCTGAGGTAGTTGAATGATCCCAAGAGAATTTCATTGTAGTCATAGCTGAAGCAAAAAAAAAGTTCCTGAATGGAGTTGCAAAACATAAAAAAAAAATTCAAAATTCAAAGCTTTCACTGAAAGTCTTTCAGTCCCTCATTTTTAAGGTATTTGTCTTGAGTCTTAAAACCTATTTTGTGGATGATAAATACAATATGTTATGAAATTGGGTATCGAGGGCTGAATCTGGAAAGAAATTTAGGTCAATTTCCTAAATCTTGTAGGAACTGGGTGGCTAAATATCTTAACAGAGCTTGTCTTGAAGCAGTATAATAGAAATGACATATGGAAATAAATGGAAAAAAAAACCCTAGTATGTGTTTAGTGCAGAATTTATATAATACAGAATTAATGCATGGCGCATATGAAGTTGAGAGATGCATTTCATTAATTATCTGCTTGATTAATATGCATTTTCAAAATAAAAACCTTTATCATAAAATAGACAAAATTAGCACAAGGGGATCAACTTAGAGTGAAATGGGTTGTCCTAGTACATGTATTACCTAGCCTTTTTTGGTTGGCTTTCTAACAGTAGCCTTCTTTTAATGAGATTTTAAATGAAATTTCACTGTGGATAACGGGTATGACAATATTGGTATTCAGAAAGCCCAGAGACTAAAAAGAATATCGTGTCATATAACTCTTTTCTTTGGTTGTGATGAAGTTTTTTTGTTAACACTTTTACTAGGACTTTTTTCTGTCTAGTGCAAATAAATCAAGAAACAGCTATTATATATTGTGTGGAAATATCTTCAAATGGTTGAATTTGCTTTTTGCTGTTCCATTGTTTTAATAAATCTCTCCTTTTAAGTACTTAGCACATTTATTTTGCAGCCTTCATAAAACGTTTTTTTTTTTCCCCTACTGTTTCAGCTGTCATTTAGATGTTGATATGTAAAGCAAAATGGCAAAAATCAACACCCAGTACTCCTACCCTGGCATGCAGAGACTGTCTGTCAGAACTACTGATGAAGATATTGAAAGGATTGAAAATGGCTGTATCAGGTAATATATTCCTTTTATCACAGTCGAGAAGACAGATTACTGCATAGTTTGTGGCAATTCTCTAGTTCTGCATTATGGGAGTGTTATATCATGATATTGTTGACCCAGTGCACTTAACTGACTTAACCATGTAGATGCAAAGTACAGAAGAGACAGCGACAGGAAGGTTCTCATGGCTTGCAGTTTTGAAACCAGAATCTGTATTACCTCAGGAATAAACCCCATTTTCGCACCACAGAATGATAGAATCATTTAGATTTCTTTAAGATCGAGTTCAACCATTAACCTAGTGCTGCCAAGTCCACCACTAATCCATGTCCCTAAGTGCCACATTTACACGTCTTTTAAATAGCTCAGGGCGTGGTGACTGCACCACTTCCCTGGACAGCCTTTTCCAATGCTTGACAGCCCTTTTGGTGAAGAAATTCTTCCTGATATCATCAGTGGCTATTACATCAACTCATTAAAGAGAAACACAGATACCAAAGTCCGTGCTTCCCACAGAGTCTGTGGGGTTTGGTGAAAAGGGGATCCTCTCAGTGCCATGCAGTGAAAAGCCTCAGGAAGTTTGTTTGTTTTTAAAGTAGCTCCTGCAAATTGCTTAGTTCCTGTGATAGGGAACATTTGTCGTGTATAAAGATTATTGACATTTTTGTACTGGCTTTTCAGAGCCTCTCACTGTGCAGTGGAATTGTAACAGTTTCTTTACATTCACCTTTCTCTGTTTTGACAGTTTTAAAGTGGCTGTTTAAAAATGTGCCAGGGAGCTTGCACTTAACATTCTACGTGGTACGGGTCAGTTGTCTAGTCTGGGCAAACCCTGCTGAGCCTGCAGGAAAGTGTCTGATGATCCACAGCACCTTTACAGACTGGAAAAACTGTTCTGCTTTTGACTTATTACGGTCAACCACCTCCACTATGTGGACCTTGTCAGACTGTCTTTTGCTGTTCAGATGTGTTTCTGGACTAGAGCACTCAAAATCTTACTGGGCTGATAATTCTGGATTGCATGCCCCTAGCATCTGGTATGGACGTGCTCCTTGTCCTGTGTGAATTGGTCCTTTTTTTTCTTTCTGCTTTGCTTATGTGGTACCTTCTGTCATGTAGGTATATGTACACTAGTGAAAATGGAGCTGCTTTTATTCTGCACAGAATGGCTTGCTTGACTTAGTTATACTACCCCATGGTCTCCTCGGGGAGATTTGCAAGATTTTTGTCCCTTTGTCTCCATTTACAGTGATATCTCAGAAACAGGGAAGACACAGATCGAAATGAGCCTTTCCTTTTTTAATGTCCTTTTTGTAGAGGATATAGATGATTGGCGGCTCACGGAATGGGTGAGGGATATGACAGTATGTAAATGTAGACTGCAGTCATCTGCAGTTTCAGAGGCAATGACTTGCTTATGATAGATAGACTGAAATATGAATTGCACTTCATCGTCATGATGATGATGGTCTTGAAGAGCCGTTTATTTAAGAGTTTGCTGTTATCAGCATAAATTACAGGAGTTCATAGATGAGTAATAAGATACAATCTCTCTGTATAAAAGTGATCTCATATTTAAGGTTTTTGGATTGCCGAAGTGATTTCTAGTAAGTGTATACAACGCCTTTGTAATACCACTCAAAGAATTCTGATACACATTTTTTAAATTCAGATTTGGTTGAGAATATGTGTATACCAAAATAGAGATCTCATTCAAAATTTTAGCCCTTTTTTGTCTTGTGGCAAAGTATACAACTATAGACATTGGAAAAAACCACAGGTTTTCTAAAGTAGCAGCATTTCTCCTTTGCCTTTATCTTCCTCCAACTCCTCCTCTTGGCTATAGTTCAACAAAGCAATTAAGCACATTACTTAGTTCTCATTAAAGTCAGTGGGTGTTAAATTTATGCTTAATGCTAAAGATGTGCTTAAGTGCTTTTTTGCTGTGGAATGAGATGCTATCAAGGAAAAGCATTCACTGAAACAGTTAACACAAAGCTGCTGGGCGTCTTTAAACTGTCATTCTCAATTATGCTGGAGTAGGTGATTCATATGCCTATATTCTTGCAGTGTAGCGTGCTATAAAGTTGGTCCATTTTGTTAAAACAAAAAATCAACAGAACAAAAAATAACAAATGAGTCTTCATTTTTAAAATCCAGCCTCTGTATAGAAACAGTTCAAATAGAACAGACAGCATATTAACTTATAGACACAGTTGGAAGTAGGATTCACCTGTGCCATGTAGACATGTGGATTTCAGTGTCTTCATGTGAATAGGGGTCTTAAGTCCCTGCTGTCGTGCTGTCATCAGTGGAAATGTAGTCAGTACTGATAGTCCGTGGAGCCTAGGAAACCATTCAGCCTACCCTGAAGTTGAATAGCTCTTCAGGCTCGTTTGGCTGTGTTGATTATGAGAGGCATTTAGTTGCATAAAACAGGCATCTAAAGCTAGTTGAGATACTGTAGAGTATCCGAAGCATTTAGCTGGGACTGGTGGATATGAGGTGAGAACTGTGTGCTCTGGAGAGGTCAGATGACGTATTTTGAGGTATTCCAAATGGGACTAGACTCCTATATTGAGGCAACTGAATCAAGCGCTAAGATGACAATTGACTATAATGGCTACTTAGACATTCACTTTATATTAGAAATCCTAATTTAGGTTACTGCCATCTGGAGCCAAATCCCACCCTCCAAGTCTGGCTCATAGTCATTCCTCAAAAGGGCTTCAGCAATTCCTGTTTAACTAATCAGAACTTCAAAACAATTACTACTAAATGAAAATTCTGGATTATTTGCATGCATTTTAGGTGGAAATGGTATTCTAGGGTTTCCTTGAGGACCTTTGTGCAAATTTAGAGCCAAATTCAGTCAAGACAAGGGACAGTGTACAGAGCAGGTGACGCTGTAAATATCCTTCTCAGAGCTTACACTGCTAGATACCACGAAAGCATGGGAATAAATTGGCCTTTAGAGAGCTGAAGAGGCATCGAGCAGAAACCTCTGTATCAGTGAGTTTTCTCTAAGATACAGTGACATTGCTACCCCCATGGAAATAAAATATTTTTCAGCATAACCCAAGGAGGCACAATCATCTGCTGATGTTTCTGCTTTGTAACCTGCTCTCTGTTTCTTGACATGCTCCATATTCTCCTCTCATGTTGATTTTAGACCATGTAACACACTTGGATAGTAATGGCAGTGGCTGCTGTTTCACTGCAGATACTAAACAAGCTTATGGAGTCCAGATGGGAATGAATCTGTGTGTCTTTGTTAAAATAAAATAAAAACTATGCCACATGCATTGAAGGTGTTACATCAAAAGTCCCATCTGTAACTGTCCCTCTGCATCAATATAAAGCCAGCTGACAATTAAGGCCTCTTGTGTTATCTGAACAGGACTGAGTAAAGTCAGGATTGAGTATATAAATTTTATAAAAGAGATTTATAATAATGGAAGAAGGGGTTCATTTTAGATTTACCTTTTGATTTGCATTTGTGTGAATTAAAGTGGAATATATTTGTGATTGCTGTGTAAAATTGGACAGGTCGTTTCATAAGAGTTGCCCAGTGGAGTCCTTTCTGTATTGTTTTCTGATCCTGTTGCAAATATACATAAGCTCTATTTGTAAAAGTGAAATGCAAGCACTTTAGTACTGTTTCCACAAAATGACCTTGATTTTCCTGAGTTGTCTACACACTTTCTATCTGCAACTTTTTTTGTGAGGGAAACCTGAATTTATGTACGAATTGCTGTATTTAGTTATAGCATAAACCTAGTTGTAGAAATTCTTGATGCACATATAGAGCAATCAAAAAATAGTTTCTTAAAAACAGTCAAGCAACCAAAATAAAAATACAGACTTCACGATTTCACTACTTGTGTCCATAATCCACCCAGTTTGATTCCAGCAGTTGAGTGTTGAGAGTTTTGCCTTTTTTTTTTCCTACATACTACCCATTTTTCACTGAAAGTGTCTGGTCACCTACTGGTAAGAATCTGACCAGAGAACAATTTAAATGATGAGAAATTTTTAATTTGTTTTATGGGACACTGGATCAGGTTGGAAGGTGTTCAGTCAGGTGACATTAAGCATGTCATTATATTTCACCTAGATTAAAACATTTATTCAACATACTTCTGGCTCCAGACACCAAAAGCCGTACCCTGGATTGAAACCACTGGGTTTTAGAGGGTGCCATTAAGTGCTCTGTAGCTAGAGGATAGACAGTTGGTAAAACTCTTAATGTTACAGACACACAGAATATGACGAGCCTGTGTAGGGACAGTGGAGCACAGCTTTCCATACTGCTGAGGAGTATGGAGATGATGATCATGCATACGAAGCACTTAACAAATGATGTACTTAGCAAGTATGCCTCTATGCTGGTAAGTGGAGCTAGTAGGACAGTATTGCTTTTTAGTACCTGATCTAGCTTTTTTAGAGCTCACTCAGCTCTCTCTGCACTCTTCTGCATTAGCTTCCTAGGCATTTACTCAAAATAAAGCTGAGCTCCTCATTCTTAGCCTTTTGTTTATTGTCAGCAGATGCCCAAGCACAGCAATGTCAGTAATAAAGGAGTCTGGGACTAAAAAAGTGTACAAAATTGAAATAGGAAGGATAGTTAACAGTGCATTTTGGATAGCAATTTTCAGCTGCTGCTTGGCTCTTTTTCTCACTGATAAACCAGCACAGTTATATCAAAATAGAACATCATGTGATGTTTGTTTCATTTCAGCATGCTTATAGAGGCTAATAAAATTGAAATAGTCTCCTGAGACTTCAGAGAAAGTCTGATTGGCCTGATTTCCTGGGCCCGACCTCTGTGTAGGGTTTTCTTGGACTGACAGAGAATGCACTCTGACAATCTTTTTTCTTTTTTTTTAAATTCTACTTGGAAGGATACCTGAAGTATTTTAATCCATATTTACTTTGTTTTCTGTATTACTATTCACTACTTTGTTTTCTGTCCCTTGCATTTAATTACCTGTATTTAGAGTAAATATAACAACTTGATGTACAGCCACTAAAAGCAGTTGTGTTACCGCAGCTTAGTGAGATGCTCTTCATTATCCGAGTCACTGAAGGTGCACAAATTTCTAATCCATCCAAACAAGAAATAAAAGATACTAGCTTAAGCCTCCACGAAAGGCTATTTCTGCAAATTACAGTTTATTTTCACATCTGAATTGTGACACCTAAAATTATTTTCTAAGAACTCCCACTATCTTCTTTTGAAAAGGTATTTTCAGGACTCAAAAATAGTAATAATTGGTAAGTAAGAACAGAAGTAGCAATATTAGAATTTATACTGTCGAAGATCACACAAAGTGTGTATTTTTCTGTGAAAAGGAATAGAAGGACTTAAAAACAGCCATAGCAGTGCAGTCTAAAAGACTGACTTGTCCAGTATCCTTTCTCCAGCAGGACTGTAGGCAGATGTTCCAGGAAAAAGAAAAAGAAGTGAGCAAACTGCAAGTATCTTCAGCATACTTTCCTCTAATACTATCCCAGCATCGAGCTCAGGAGACTTGTTGAGCTGTACATGGGCTCTGTGTATCTGGTAATCCGTAATGGATTTCTGTTCCATGAGTTTGTTCATTCTCCCCTAGAAGCCGTGTTAGCTTTGGCATCCACAATATTTTCAGCACCCACAACATAAAGTAGGTTATAAAAGTTTTTCAGTATTAAACAGTGTCTACTGGTGTTTTCTTATGAGAAGAAGAAAACAGTTAACCAGTTGAGAATTCTGGAAGTGGCAGGACCTCTTTTTTAGCATTGTTCTTTGTGTAGAAATAATAAAGTTTTAATTCTCTGTTTGTCAGTTTCTCAGCTGTGAGCACACACAAAATTGAGTTGCTAATTACCCTTTTGTGAACGTTCAAAATGCTTTGCCAGTTCTTAGGGAGATACTGCAAGTATTATTATAGTCAGTGTTTTCCCCGGCAATACAGATTAAGAGAGTCATGTGAAAGTTCTTGTTTGCGTTACAAAGAGGGAAGAAGTGATCCTTAATCGATATGACAAAGTCTTGTAAAAGTGAATACTAACGAATGAAAAAGGCAGAGAAAAGTCTAGGAGTCTTTAAAAAATATCCAGAGTAAGCCGTGATAAAGTTCAGGTTCCAGTGAAGTCAATGTCAGAACTCCCATTACTGAAAGATGAGGCTAAAATTTCATCTATTTTTCTCAAATGCTGATTACGTCAGTGCTAATAAGTAATCTTAAAATTACTGGAACTCGTGGGAGTTGGCAGACCCTGCACATAGCTTAATGTTACAATCGCTGTCTGCAGTTGTGTGCCACTGGGCTGCTGTAGTGTTTTCCGTGCGTGGCAGTAGCCTGAGGTGCCTCATCTCATCGCTGCCAGAGCAGCCCTGAAGATCTGCAGCCTGTTTTGCTGTGCAAAAGGTGAAGTTTTCGTTACAAAGTGAGCAGCGTTGGGGCTGCAGTTGTGCAGCTGGTGGCAGCAGGCTGGTAAGAGCGGCAGTGATGCTGCTGTGAAATCACTGCTTTCCCTTTCAGTCCAACCAAGAATGAAAGCAGAAGAGATGCCTATTTGCTTGAAGTCACGAATAGGAACTGCACTGGTAGAAATTCCAGACTGTTAAACCCAAACTATATCTAGGAGAACAACACTGAAAAAAGCAGCAGGCAGTCACTTTAAAGCCCACTGGGGATGACTTCCATGTTGAAGGGAAGCTGCTGGTGCTTTACAGGAGGTGTTAGAGTAGAAAACATGCTACCCATGATTATGTATCTGCACACCAGAGCAGTACTGATCAGTAAGGAATCAGCTTCTGAGCTTGCTGGAATGGGTGGCAGAACCTCCACTGACCTAATTTCATGTTGGATGGCTCCAGAAAAGTAGGAATATAAGCTTAGCTCAATGTTTATCAAATGTACGCCACATTACTAGGATGGGGACAATTTGCTGCATTGTTTCCTGATGTAATGGAAAGAATCAGATGAGGGGGAGTCTACTGGAGATTGTATGGGACATTTAAAAAAAATTTGCTTTTGCAGAACCCATTCACTGTGTGAGGATGCATCTTCAGAACTACAAAGAGTCATTTCTGTGGAAGGAAGACATCTATCTGAAACTCAGACGAGCTCATTCACGGGCAGGGGAGCAATGGCAAGGTAATGTACTAAGTAATACCATCTCTAGTAATAAATTTAACCTCTTGAAAGAGACTGGTAACAATTTGGAGGCAAAGTAAAAAGAACCATCACTTTCCAAGGAAAATAAATGGAGTCCAGCTGAAGAAAGCCTATAAAAAGTAACAGAAGCTGCTTTTAACCTTGATTCTGAACTCATCACTTACTCATTGCTAATAAAAACTTTAGAATCCTAGAGATGCTGAATGAGCTCGCACAAATTAGTATGAATGAAAAAAATAAATTATTTTTACATGATCAGATCTGAGAATATATTGAATGTTGAGGAAATGCATGAAGTGAGGTCAGACTGTGAAGTAAATGGGTAAATGTTTGGTTCTGGCTGATAGTTGGTGCAGTGTTTGTTTCCTGTCAAATAAGACATGATGATTGTTCTGTTGTTGGTAGATGGCTCTGGCAAGGGAGGAGACAGGGGCTTTTGTGTTGAGAGTACAAGAGTTTCTCTCAGCTTTTAGAACCCAGTTGTGTTTATAATGGATTCAAGTCAACCATTTGCTTAAGTCATTTGCTTTACCAGGACTTAAACATAAACCTGAAGTGGAGCTTCAAAAACTTATTGTGTCTGCTTTAAATATTTCCAGTTGAGACCGCAGAGCTCTGTCTTCAGATACAATTGTTACTCACAATACAGACTATACTCAGTTTAAGCATACTTTATTTCACAGAGCAAAGAAAAATATTGTTATAAAGCCAGAGTAATTTAAAGGGTTTTGTTTTATACTTCTGCCTTTTGGATGACGGAGAATAAACTTGTTTTTCCCTGTTTGATTGTCAGATAGTGACACCACTGCGTGTGGATTGCAAAGTCTGCAAGAAGTTGGTTTTAGGTGGAAAACATTTATAGGTGTGTGTTTTGTGTGAACGTAAAGCACATGAATATATAAACTAATATTGAGAACTTCCTTTTTAATCTTTTTCAGGATAGTTTGAATTACACACGTGTGTAGCTACAGTTACTTATGCTTTGAACATACAAGGAAACCTGTGATGCACACACGAATGCTTAGCAGTTTAAGTATTATGGTCATATAATATGCCTCTCGAATGCAAATTCTCAAGGATGGTCTTCACTGAGAATTTTGCTTAGAGATGTAAAGGACAAAAATGTGAAAATAATATAGCATGGCAGAAATCAGAAAATTCTATTTCTTTGTTCAAATAAAGAGGCTCTCAATCTTATTTGGTAAAATATGTTTGCTCCTTTACTAACAGGTCTCACCAAAATGCTTTATCTTCTAATGTAAGAACATCCGTTTTGGTAGTCCTTATGTGAAAGATGAGTTCTGCTCAGGCAAAGAGAAAAATTCTGTAGCTTAATTTTATGCAGCATTTTTTGAATAGAATGAGTAATCTTTTAAATAATCTTAGACTTTTATGTGGAGCTTTTCTTTTTTTTTTTGCATTCTTGGTAGCCTTTGAATTCTTGTAATTGTTGAAATTTGTAGGTATATATATGATGCTATCTCGGTATAGTGCTGAAGAACGAGAAATATGTTTTTATAGTTTCTGACATGTGATGTTATTCTTGCCATTTTTGTCCTTTTTATTTCAGAGTAAGAGAACCGGGGCAAGATCTATAAGGAGGTGTAATTAGGCCCTTAAGAACTGTAATCAAGAGGCAAATGTACTTTACCATAAGGTTGAAGTTGTTCATATCAACCTCTTTGTGGATTCTGAGCATGTGTAATACTAGCCAATGCAGAGAGAATGTAAAGAGCTTTCCTTGAGTAGCCCAAGGTCTCTGTAAGCAGTTAAGCATTGTTCAGGATTTCATTATGCTGTTTTCGAGGCCAGGTCTGGGAAACCTAAATTAACACCACTTTTGTCCAAACTAGACTACTGACAGGAAATAATATGTTATATTGTGTGAGTAATAAATATAATCACTTTTGTAAAAAGTCTCCATTATTTTCAATTTTCCAGAAACACATTTCCTTTTGAACTTTGACAGGAAACATTAAAGGGTTCATAATGTGAATTAGTGGGAAGAGAAAAAGATACATAATGATACAATGATAAATTAATTATGTTGTCATGATTTTTTGTTTACCTCATTTCAGTGCTCTGCTAGAAATTTAGGATGAGGAAATAGTGTTTCCTATGCAGTAGGCAGGTTTGTATGTGATAGGCAATTAGTACATCTGCAGACAGACTCTTTAAAATCATGGAGAAAGCGGCTGAATTTTTATCATTCCTTATTTCAAAGTCCATCCTCCCTCACTAACTATGCAGCTTTTGTTTCCCCTGTGTGTACCAGCCTTGAGCATGTAATCCTGTGAGTATTTTATATCTCCTAATTCTGTCAGTCCAGGATTCTCCAATATCCCATAATGTCAGAAGTTTGTAAGAACTGCTTGATTTGCCTCCACTTGGCAAGAATATTCTTCTCTTGCTCCTGCGGTGCTGCTACAGTGGACTAGGAACTGCTGTGTGAGATAACTTCCTGATCTTCTGCAAAGGATGATGTATGAAACTGTGGGAAGTGACTGGGTTCACACAGTTAATCCATCAAGTATAATTTTGTGGCAAGTGGAGAAGTGGAGAAGAATCCTCCTGGGCTACTCTTTGTGGGGATGATTTAAGCGATCTGATGTTCTTGTTTAATTCAGTCAATGTTGTATGTCTCTTCCATGCAGACTATCACGATTTGTCATATCTGTGAGGTCATGGGCCACAAGACATTTGCATCATGAAGACCAAAGACCTGATTCTTTCCTAGAGCGTATCCGAGGACCAGAGCTCATCGAGGTGTCCAGTAGGCAAAGTAATATTCGCTCCTTTCTGGGTATCCGTGAGCGGCCTGGAGGAGTAAACAGGTAAGATGATGTGTTTATACTTTAAAGAGAGATGACCGAGGTGATGGTATTTTCTTGGTAATTAGGATGTAAGTTTTATTTTAAGAAAAGGGTAAGGAGCTTAGCATGGGAGGTGAACAGAGTATCTAATGCTGCCCAGGAATCTTTGCGTAACTGAAGTATTATGGCTGTCAGCAGACTTTCTCCTTCCCCCTCAAATGTACTGTGGCAAAGATCCTGAGGTAAAAGATTTTGATTGTGCTGCTTCAGGCAGAATGGTTTCTCAGAACTGGAATTTTATCATATGCTACCTGTGCAAATTGATGTCGCTAAACTCCTCTCCACTGAGGATGAATGCTATTTCTATTTCAAGAATCTAGTTGTGGTTTTTCAGAACATTCACGTTATGCACTTTATCTGCGAGTGTTAGGAGACTCCAAAAAGCAGTTGTGCAAAACATGTCATAGCTTTGTTGCACCTACTCAGGAGATAGGCTACTAACATTACAGAAGGCTTCTGATGCAGAAATGAGAAAATCTTTTGGCTGCTGACTTAACTTATTAGCACATACTCAGTTGTTGGTATGGAAGACAGGTTCAGTCTTAAAATTTTACCGATAAAACAACAGAGGCTCGCAAGAGAAACCTTTATGTGTTTACAGTCTTTTGACTTCGTCAATTATTATTACTTTGTAAATATATGATATAATGTTTTAAGTTTAACTCCAGCTAAAAGAGGAAAATTAAGTCCCAAGACAAAAGTTGACTTTCTGTTTGGCATTACATTTTGAAGCATAGACTTTCTTTTTTTTTTTTTTTTGGCATGGTTAAAGATTGGTAGGTAAGCAAGTTACAAATTGATTTGTTTCAAAATCTCACCTAGTAATATGGATTAAAGCAAGAACCTTTGAAGGGCTGTGCATGATACAGGTTACCTTGATTTGCTGTGGGCTAGCACAGCCTTACTATCTTCAATTAGTCTACTCCTTAGAAATTCAGTTCAAAAGCACATTTTGTTGAATTAGCCAGACTGCTGTCAGATTTTTCAGACATCTGGATCAGTAGCGACTGCAGATTCAAAGTAGTTAGAGAGGACAACATTGACCCTGGGCCAGCAAATCTCTGTGTGAGGCTATTAGAAGAAGTGAATTTGGAAGCATCCATCCTTGCCTTCTCAGTTTCATGCTGTTGCCATGTGACACTAACTCCCAGTTGTTTTATCGTGAAGGCTTAATTCTGCAGCAATGGTAGGGATGGGATGCTTGTTACTTATCCAAAAGCCTTGGCACTGCATCTGTGAAGAAGACTTGAAAGGATTGATGAAAGCTTAAAATAGTAGCCAAATAAGTACAGGGCTAAAAATAGTGAGATGCATGTTGCCATGCACTCATACGCCTGAGAACAAGCTTCAGACATCAAGTGTGGTCAAATGTGTATGCCAAGCACACAATAAAAAGAAACTGGTGCCTTGAAATAGTTACGCAAGAGGCTTATCACTGCAGTCAAAGTTGACCTTCCTAATCTTATCAGTGCACATGTGAGAAGCTAGTAAGTCAGTCCATCATGTCTGTAAACACGTGTATGAAATACCAAGAGTCTTTACACTCTTTAATGTGTTTTATTTAACTTGCTGCAGTCACTGGCCCTTGGCCAGGTTTAATGTCAACTACAGCAACAACACCAACGAAGAGTAAGTACTGATAACTTCCAAACACCTTTCTACTACTAGCTCCTTCTCTTTTTCCCTTTCCAGCCTAGTAACATTTGTAGTAGAAACTCCTTATCTCTTCCTAAGCCTTTCCTAAAAATATGGTTTAATTATAAAGATCTAGTTTTCTTAGTGTTAAAAGCATCCTTCACTCTCCCTGTGAACTTCTTTTTTTCTGAAGTTACCCTTAACCTCTCAAAGAATGACTTTGATTAAGCATTTAGACCCTGCCTCCTCTAGATCAACTGGCTGATTTTACTGCATTGCAAATTGATTTATTAATTCTTCAGTTTTTAAATGAGATTCATGTATTCATTTCTTAACAGTCCCCTTTTGCAAATCAGGTGCCCCAGAAATTTCAGGTTGTCAAATAAGAATTGGGTACTGATCCGGGTACCAAGAAAACACTTGTGTGTGCAGTCTAAATGAAATCTAACCATCTTTTAAAAATGTTTGTTTCAGTTCAGCAGATACTGTTGGTGTAGAAGTAGAGAGAGTGACAGGTAACATCATAAGGCTTGCATTGCAATGGAAGCTCTGACAGAAGCGGTCCTTTGGAGTCTGTTTTATATATTTGACAAGATGTTTCACAGCGTTACACCAAAGAGAAATCTCTTGAAAAGGTGAAGAGCTCCTGTAATTTAAAATCTCCTGACACCAATGCTTGTTGCATGTTTTAGACCACAGCTGTCTGAAGACATATCTGCTCTGTAGCATCCAATAGCAGATCTGTTCTGAGACATAATGATAGTTAATTTTTTCATTGCTTTCCAGATGAAATCAAAAATTAAAAATAACTAGGACAGTTCCTGATTATGACAGAAATACTTTCAGGAAACTCTTGTTTTTTCGTCCAAATAGCTCCATCATGGACTAGCTCAAACTGTACATTTTAAAAGATGCTGCAAAACCTTCGTGCATGTACCTGAACAAGAGGTCTTCCTGTTCCTGAAGCAACTTTTAGGTTTGGTTTGCATAACTTTTATTAAAAAGGAAATCAGTGTGCAGTGAACAGTGACAGAAATGTGCAGAATTCTATTTAGACTGGTATAAAAAAAAGGTGCTGAAAGCCTGGAGCCTAGCCTGCTAGTCAGAGCCCAAAGGACTGATTAGGATGGAAATACTGCTTTCTTACTCTTTTTCTGACAGTGACTCATGTACCCTGGGCAAAACTTTCATCCTTCCAATGTTTCATTATTTTTAAATGAAGACAACACTTGTCTGTCTACCTGCCTGACAGTCTCAAACATACTTGATTTGCAAAGTACTTGACAGATGAGAAATGCAAATATTTGATTAATTCAAAGACTATAACTATTTTTATAGGGGCTGATGAAGACATTTCTAAGTCTGAAGATGCAAACTCCTTTTAATATGCTGGAAACACAGAATTGGATGCCACTGTATTGCTGTGAAAGAGGACAAGCCCAAACAGCTGTTTTATTAGTTCCTCGACTCAGTTTACTCAGTAGCACTGATAAAGGAAAAAAGATGCAGATCTTTTTGCAGCTTTGGGTTTTCCATTATGTTAAAGACCTAAGAGTGCCTGGTCTTGCAGAACTGTAGGTGATGCTTTCAAGTCTTTGATTATGGCCAGCCTTTTCCTCTGAGTGACTTCTACCACTAGACTATAAGTAGGTGGGAGTGTGGTAAGTTGGGAGTTACCACAATAGAGAGATGAACAGAGGCCATAGAAATGGAAGAATCTTACTTAGAAAGATAGCTGTACTTGACAGTTGAGTTTGTAGGAGATCTCAGGCCAGAGAAGAAAGAAGCATTGGCATTAGATGCTGTGTGAAATAACATTTTTCTCTTTTTTAAAACAAAACATAAGAGGAAGTTGACATTGTCAAAATATTCCTCCAAAGTTCACCACGACTGAGACTTTTTGACTGATTCTCAATCTCAACCTACTTTTCCCTGCATAACAAATCCATAAGTGTACAGTGGCTCTACCCTTTGAAAATTATGTTTACTTGTAGTCCTTCCTTTCTGGTAAGAATGCTGGACATTTGAAGTATTGAACTATGTTAATGCTAACAACAGCAACTGTGAATTGGCCTTTAGATCAGGCACCGTGCATAGTAATGTGCAGTGAAATCCTGATGTTTTTTAAATAGGAAGGAGTTTTTGGGGCAGATTTGAAAGAGAAGCCATAAAAGTCTGAGGAGGATCAGTGGCAGAGAAATAAATACATGAGTGGCAGTTCCCACTGCTGTGTAGAAATCAGCCTTGGTAAATGAAAATCTGTTTCTTTGAATTGAGATGCATGTAGAAATAGATGAGTCAATTAAAAGGTTCTTTTCTCCTCCTAAGTTATAGTCCCTTACAGTATATGATTTTAAAGGTTTCAGTGCAGTTGGTCAGCATGGTACGTATTTCCCTGGATATAGAAGAGTGTAGGAGCTCATCATTTTTTAGCAAACAAGTCTGGGCTTTTCCAAATTACATTGTGGTGCTGCATCACTGTCTAAGGGTAAGAATTGGAACAGGTGCTCATTGCTGATAGGTGAAAGCTACTAGTAGACCTATTATATTTACCTTAAAATTGGTGACTGTTGTCTTTTCCCTTGGAGTACTTCTTTCTCCCTGTAACAGGCACATTCTTAGACAGGACTGCCATCCACAGCGTAGACTTTTTCTGATCGGAGTAATACAAGCAAGTGTACATGAAAAGTGCAAGTGAGGTCCCTAAACTTTTTACCTGTTGGTTCAAATCCTGTAAGCAGCACTTTTTCAACTGTTATTAGTGTTCTGTCTTTGCCGTGGGATATTGCTGTCATTGAACTAATTTGTCCTTTGTTGACACCAGTGCAAGGAGAGAATCAGACCTAATCTTGGCAGTTCAGAGGAGAACACGTAGCTCCCATAGGAGCCGGAATCCATGGTTTTCATCCGAAGCAGACCTTACGCATAGAGAGTTATGTTTATATATGCATTATCCACATGCACTGTAGTGTCAGGAGCATTTAGGCTTCTCTGTCTAAGCAGTGGAGACACTTTCTGCTTCAAGGAATAGAGAAATTTCAAATTCAAAACAGGGAGATCTCAGATAATGGATTTTCTATGTGTGCAAGTGAGTTCAGTTCTTCAGCTTACGTGATTCTGCCCCTCTACTCTGCTCTCGTGAGACCCCACCTGGAATACTGTGCTTAGCTCTGGAGTCCCCAACACAAGAAGGACATGGAGCTGCTGGAGCGGGTCCAGAGGAGGGCCACAAAGATGATCCAAGGGCTGGAGCACCTCTGCTATGAAGACAGGCTGAGAGAGTTGGGGCTGTTCAGCCTGGAGAAGAGAAGGCTCCAGGGTGATCTTATAGCAGCCTTCCAGTACTTAAAGGGGGCCTACAGGAAAGCTGGAGAGGGACTTTTTCCAAGGGTATGTAGTGATAGGACAAAGGGCAATGGCTTTAAACTGAAAGAGGGTAGATTTAGATTAGATCTAAGGAAGAAATTTTTCACTGTGAGGGTGGTGAGGCACTGGAACAGGTTGCCTAGAGGAGTGTGGATGCCCCATCCCTGGAAGTGTTCAAGGCCAGATTGGATGAGGCTTTGGGCAGCCTGGTGTAGTGGAGGGTTTCCCTGCCTGTAGCAGGGGGGTTGGAACTAGATGATCTTTGAGGTCCCTTCCAACCCAAACCATTCTATGATTCTGTGATTCTATGATTCTTGACCAAAGCATCTAGCAAATTTATCTCTAATATTAAGTGTTGACAGAATCTTAGGAAAGATGTTAACTTTCTGCAGTTTTAAAGAGGATGCGTGGGCCTATCTGCAAAAGTTAGCATCGCTCATAACTCTTCTGTTCAAACACAGACAAACCCAAGAATGGGGGAAGTCAGTTCCATCTTTGTATCTGGCTTAACACATTCTAATATGCTGAAGGCTGTACATACTTAACAGTATGAAACTCCATATCTGGAATTAAATCTTGCAGCTTGGGTCTGTGCTGGATACTATGGAATGTTAAGATATAATTATGTTAAATGGTCCATATTTTATTTTATTGCATGAAAAGCAATTAATAAAAATGGGGATGATCATGAGTCCATTAAGTCTAGGAAAAATTCTCATTGTTTTTAGCAAGGATGGAACTTCATGCTTAATGCTCAGCCTTTGAATACAGTAGCAATCAAATACAGGCAGGGCAACTTGGACGTGGCTCCTCTGACCAAATACAGACACCTGCATCTGAACTAGGCAACCAATTCTTCCTTTACAGTTGGTGGAAAGAAAAACAAGCTTTTAGGGCACAAGTCATCTTGTAGATATGGACTATGCGATATGGATATGTATCTTGTAGATACAGTAGTTCTCTACTATAGAGATCTAAAATGGTTGGCTTAATCACGTTGACTATAAAGCATTTATAAAATGACTTCTATGTAGTTAAATGAGACACACCTCTTTGCTCTACATTTGCTGCTTTTGTTCAGACATGGACCGAGATTCTTCTCCAAGGCAATTGTTGAAGCCAGAGGTAATTAATTAATTATAGCTATGTTGGTTTTAAAGAATGATGAGAGGAAATTCAGCCTCATTTCATTTAATTACCATTAAAGCTTCAGACAGTCACTATGAGGTTTTGGATGTGCAAAGAATGTTGACAGTTCGTTACGCCATTTCAAGTTCTATTATAATTTGATAGATTTCTTTTTAAATGCCTGAGTTCTAAAGCACGAAACAAACTGGAAGCATTTAATTAAAATCAGCCTGGTACACTGATGTCTGAAAAGGTCAAGAAAGCGTGGGTAACTAATGCACAGAATCAGCCAGCTGGTTATCTGTCATAATGGTGTGGTGGTGTCAGATCGAGAGGCCTCAGCACATAAACCATTTTTACCAGTTGGATGAATGGTTCCACTGAGAAACCCTGTCCTACCCTGTCTGGATTGTAGTCTAGTTTCCTGTACCTCAACATCCACCCTCTCCCTTAACTGCTAGAATATTGGTAATAATTGCTAAGCCTTACATTATGTTGCACAGCAAAAAGGAAGAAAAGAAAGAGGTTAAAGAGGAGAAAAAAGAGGAAAAGAAAGAGGAAAAGAAGGAGGAAAAGAAAGAGGAAAAGAAAGATGACAAAAAAGATGATAAAAAAAAAGAAGAGTAAGTATAAAGAATGAATGTGTGCTTATAACACATTTCCTACACTACAAAGCATGGTATGGCATTTCATCATGCCACTTCCATGACAATTTTTGTTCTGTAGGTTGCAGAATGTTAGCCTGTCAAATCTTTAATACCTTTTCCCCTTTAGAAAGGTGCAACTACTCAACAAACTTGTTGCATCTTTAAGGCCTGTGTTTAGACCTGTCATGAACACCTTCGTATGTCAGTAAAAGGGAATTCGGATACGTCTGGTTACTTGGATTTGCTGTTGAAGATCACCTTTTTACTATGTAGGCCTTTTAGGATAGCAGCCTGGTTTGCAGACCTGCACAGGCTTTTCATTGTTCCAGAATGTCCATAATGATACAGTGCAGGTGAACCAAAAGTCTGGTTCGGATAAAGAGCAAAAATCTTACATGTAGAAAATTACAGATTTACTAATAAGTTTAGTTATTACACTGACTAGCATATTTAATTACTCATTACTAGTGATTACTACAGTTTGCTTCTGCTGATTAGGAGCTGCTGCATTTCTGCAATGAAATGAGATAATTTGAATGCTTTTGACAGAAATGGATCTTGCTCTTGTTTTGTTCCCTCAAAGCTGAGCCAAACACAGTACAATTTAGTATTACCAGTCATTAAAAATAACGATAACAGATAAAAAGAGAATGCATTTCAGTGGGCCTCACAGTTAAGAAGTATTAGAGTAACATACTGCAAGTTTATATGTATGTATATGGTGGCCATGTGCTATGTAGGCATGGGGACATACAGTTAGGATTTGCTTCCAAATGGAATCTATTTGATCTCAAGATCTTGACTTTCTTAATCAAAGCTTTGTTTGGTTAGAAAGCCTTTGTTCTCAGGATTCTCTTTCAGCTTCAATTACTGTGTAGTGAGAGCCTGAGCTTTGCAGTAGCTTAAAACGTTTCAGCAAAGAAAATAAACATTTTAATGTCTATACTCTGTCATATGAAGACCACATTTCATGGTCACCAGTTTTGAGGTGTTGACTAGTTTTTTAGAAGAAATGGCTGCAAACGTTTTGTGAAGATGGCAAAGTAAATACTTTTTAGATTAAAGGTGCTTCCTTCACTAACATTATCATGTGGACATTCAGCTGACAGCAGGGATAATGCCAGAAATGCACACAAATATGAAGTAAATTATTGTTTCATTTTAATATATTTACCTTCTTAGAGATTAGGAGAAGTCACACAAATACATATCCAAGCATTACCCAGTCACACGTTCCCCGAACTATTACACAGTTCACAGATCACACTATCACATGTTGCTGTTGGAGTGACTTCAGCTGTGGACCTCACCATCCACTAATATGTATTTCTGCTGATTACCTACAACATGCCTAATTGCTGTGTGTTCCGTATCAACCTTTCTTGTGCTGGGGAAGGGGACTTCTGAGCATACTCTCTACCCGTGCCATTAGCCATGCTGTTCTTTAAATCTTCTTTAAATTCCGGGTCTGTATGCTTCATTTAGCATCTCTCACTGTTGTGAGGCCTAGGGAGCCAGGACTGTGAATGTGTGAAATTTGCTTTTACATAATTATAAATGTTTTACTTCTGGACACACACTATATGTATGTATGCACACACAGAGTCTTACTTGTGTAAACATGTATTTGAATATGTGTGTTTTACTTGTTTAAATGTGTGCTCATACAGTCATTTCCATAATAGGATTTGCCAAAAACATCAAAATAAATCTGCAAAGGAAGGCTCTTTCTCTAGCAATGGACCATAGCCTTCTAGCTGGAATGATAATAAGAAACATGTAACTTACTTTTTTTATTTTCAGTGAGGCTCATGTGCAGAAAGGCTGTGGTTTTCAGCCTGGGCAATGTGAATGTCTGTGGTTTTGTTTCTGCTCTCACTTACTTTAAAGTTGGGTGAAACAAATAAATAGACCATATCAGATGGGATGAAGCTAATATTTGGTATCTCATCTGGAGCTGCCTGCATGAATGCTTTCTCTTCTTAGGCAGCTGTGAGTTCATTGTGAGATGAGCAGCCTCCAGAAGAGGGAGATCCAGCAGGTCACTTCATTACATTTCCAGTGTAAACCTGTATGTTTTCCTTTCCAGGAAGAAAAAAGAGATCTTTGTGATAGATCCTTCAAGCAATATTTACTACAACTGGCTGACCATAATTGCAGCACCTGTGTTTTATAACTGGTGTATGCTAGTGTGCAGGTACGGATTTAAGTTACTAATGATTTTAGGTTTCAAATTTAGTGTCTCGTTACGCTTCCTATGTAAATCGTCCTCTTCCCTCCCTGTGGTATCTTTGCCGTGACTTATCTGGAAGATTTACAGTTCATATACCCTTAGGGATACATGGTACACGTACCACTGGGAATAGGTAGCCAATTCTATCTTTTTGTCTGAAACCGATGTGACTCGCAACTGGCATCCTGATGAGCGCTGGCAGTGCGTGGCCTTTGTGTGCCACCTGCTGGCTAGCGGTAGCCATGTGCCTGGGCCACTGCAGGCTCAGCAGCCACTACGAGAGATCGGTCTTCTAATCACCCTGTAGAGAACAGAGGGAGGGGGTGTAGGCAGTGTTAGGTCATCTTAAGTTAATATCGTGCATCTATAGATGCTTGAAGAACAGGAGGATTTTACTCAAGTATTTATTTTCCCTTGTAAAATGTGGAAATCTGTTTGACTCAAAGTAATGGGGTGCTTTGGAAATCATTCACCTGGGCTGTCTCAGATGGCAGGGAGAGATGAGGATGGCTTGTCACTCAGAAACAAATCTTTTATTTGGAAATTATCTTAATGGAGATGTGTATCCCATGAAATCTGATGCATATTTAATTGTAGGGATATGTGTATTCCTCCATCAGTGCACTTGCGTGGCATATGTGTGGTTGAGTTTTGCTCCTCATCTAAACACCTTTGCATTCTGAAAGATCCTAGTGTCTGTTTAGACATAGCTTGAGTGTGCAGATGTCTAGGATGGAGTTAGGCTGCCCTTAATTTTTCAGTGCCCTTCATTTTTAATGTGCACTAACATGCTGCTAGGACACACATTGCAAGTGTGCTTACACAGTTGATGCAGTTTATTTTTTTTTAATCTTTGTTTCTTTAGAGCCTGCTTTGATGAGCTACAAATTGACCATATTAAATTATGGCTGGTCTTGGTTTATGCCTCTGATGTCATCTATGTTTTTGACATGTTTGTCAGATTCAGGACAGGTGAGTCTGAGTCTTTCTGGGGTTTACAGTGTTTTCAGATACAGTGTGGATATAAAGGCTGGAAGCAGAAATTCCCTTGTGGGATCTGACTAGCATAGTGACCTGTCTCCAGCAGAACCCAACAGTGGAGGCTTTGGGAAGATGAAAGTGGCTGACCAGCTTGAATTGTTTTTAGGCTGGACATCCCAACACCTGCACTGCACTTGTCGCTAAATTCAATTCTGTCAGTGCTTAATAGACACGCCGAGCGCCGACTGAACAGCCACTGTAACAGGTTGCGTGGGGAAGGGAGAATAAGGCACTTTGCATGTCATGATCGCTCTGTGCATGATGTATTGCTTGTGCTCATTAGGTTGGGCAAGAAACCAACTGCACCCCACAAGTGCTGCTTTCTTAGCCAAGTTGTGCAGCATCCTGCCTAGAAGTGATTATTGAGTTGGTCAAGTGCAGGACCTGGCACCCATCTCAGCCTCCAGTCTGCAGCCCTTTGCCTGAATCCAGCAGTGCTGCCCCTCTGCCACCAGCTGTATTTCCTGCAGCCTCTGCAAGGTCCTGGCTGGGCCTCCCGCTGCCTGGTGGTGGTGTAGGCTTAACCCAGGAGGGCGGTGGTATGGGATTTACCCAGGAACCTCTGCTTAGGCCCTGCCTTTTTGAAGGAAGTGTGAACCTAAAGCATCTGTGAGGCCCCTGTCATGTCATTCGTGAAGTGGTTCTCTTCAGCTTCCCATCTCTGTTTCTGTAGTCCAGACAGGCTGAGAAGGTTTTATATTTGAGTGTGCCCAGCTGACACAGATTCTGGCCTTAAAGGGATATCTGTTTTAAACTAAAAAGGGTCATACAGGTCTAAGAAATGACATACAGCGATCCATACCATTAAATTGCTAGAGCAGTCCTTGGTGTACATTGGTGCATGCATTTTGGTCTGTGCTGGCTGGCAACTCCCTCAGGCAGTGTCTGGGCACAGCTGGAAGGACAGCAGAGGCTGGGTGTTATTCATGGTGTCATTTTTGGAGGGGGCTGAGAGAACTTACATGTGAATAGAAGCTGTCATGATAGCTGGTCTCAGGGCCAGAAAAGGTTTCCTAGCTTATTCTATTTACTGGTACGGATGCAGCCCCAAAATGTCCCTTGAAAGGGTCCAAGACTGCACTGATCATTGTAAAAATGAGAGTTCTTTTAAGTCTTTGATTTTTACATTATTTTATTTTTTCTTTTTTTTTTTTAAATCATTGCTGACAGCTTGACATTAATTATGGCTTGTGACAAGCTGTAAACATAATTACAAAACAGAGGCTAAAATGCTGTCACATTAAGAAGCACAAAACTCATGGCAAGCCAAATTCTTAAACTTAGCAAGTACTTTGTTCAACAGGAAAGTCTATTTCAAATAGCAGCCTAAATCACAAGACTGCTTGGTGCAGAGTGGGGGGGCTTCATCTTCTTTATGTAGTTAAAATATCAACTGTGCCAAATACATTTTTCTCTACAGTTACATCTCTTACTGTAATGGGAAAGAACCAAGCAGAAAATGGGCATGTTCAGTCAATGCAAGTTATCAAATCTCCATGAGCTGTCCTGATAACGACTGTATGGCTGTTAAAGCATGGTTAGGAGGTTGCTTTGCAGGCCCGGATTGGAATTGCAGAATTGCCGCAGAGGTCTGAACGCTTCAGTGCAGGGGTCTGCTGCAGTTTCAGGCACTCGAATGAGGAAGTCACTTCTTTTAGGGGCTGAAATCTTTGTCTGCCCTCTTAACCCCTCCTGGCTCTGCCTGTCTGCTGCCTTTTCCTGTAAGTCTGCAAGGTCCATCTGCCCTGGGGACAGAGGTCCTGAAAGCCTTTGGAGAAGAGTGTGACTCCCCACTGTCTAAGGGCAAGGACTGGCTTTGAACGGGGCTCTAGGTAGCCTTGCAACTACAGTGATCCACGTCACCTTCTCTGTGGTGCATTCCTGTCTAGCTGCAGGGCCAGTTTCACTGTGTTTCACCTATTTGGTGACTGTGCACTGTGAAGCAGAAAAGATTTGTGTCTCTTAGCAGCTCGTCATGTTTAGCATATCTTGTGTTTTGATGCTTTCAAAAGGTTTTACTATAGGACTCTAGTTGTGCGAGAGCACAAAAAAGAGCTGAGGGGCTTTTATCTCCCTTCCATAGGAAGGCACTTGTAAAATTATTTTTAAAAATTATGTGAATCAGAATAAAATGAGTTGCATAGCCAACTTTTCTGATTAGGTGCATAACATTGTTATTAAGGAAATATTTGACCAGCTCTTTCAGCAGTTTCTGGGAGGTAACACATTCATGGCACAGGAACCACTTCCATTTGTAGTCACCATTGGTTTTCAGATACTCCAAGACAGATACACACATATACATGAGGCAGCTGTACAGATACTCCCACATTCCAGAAGTACAGCTATGCCGTGTAGGACAAAAGGAATGTAGCTTCCTCAGCAGATGCTTCCCTGAGAAAGCTGCTGCTTGTAGATTGCTAAGGGATTAGCAAAATGTGATAATCCCTGATACACAGGGAATGTTTTCTTTTCTCTCAGTCATCTTTCCCTCCTGATTGGCCTAGTGGGCCGACAGTTGGACATCTCCACTTGCAATTGCAGCAGTGTATAGGCTGTTCCTCTGGAACATTTTCAATGCCTTGAGCTTTCAGAAGTACAAAACAGCCCTGCAGCTGTACTTCTCAGGCAGCCTTTCTATGAGAACTCTTACACAGATGCTGTTTGCTTTACGGTCTCTTACTGCAGTTTATGTCTTCTCATAATTTTTAAAATCTAATACTGTCCAAAGTATTTTTAATATTAATGTACAAAATTCTCCTTAGTAGCGCTCTCGCTAGAAACACAAAACCAGCATAAACCATTCTCCCCAAATGAAAAGGAAAATCCTGTCACTTTTAACATGGGATACAAAACAAAAAGCATGACTGAGAGAAAAAAAAATGGATTTCATTATCTCAGGGGTATCTATACTGTTCTGAAAAAGTTTACAACAATCATTTATACTTACTTATTCTTGCTGTTTATTTAAAAATATTCCACTGATTTTATACACAATTACTTAACACTTGCTTAACTCTAGTCACGAGTCATGCCAATGATTTGTGAAAAATGTGACATTTGAATCTCCCCTTTATTTTTGCCAAAGATACCTAAAAGACAAAGATACAGCTGTCCCAGCATAGAGTGGAAAACTGCGGGAGCACTGTGGTAATAATAAAGTCATTGCTCTACATCATTATTATCAGCTTTGAAATTGGAGTATTTACATTTGCAATTAAATATTTTTCATTAAATGAACTCAGAGTGTATCGATGTCTGTGTGCATAACAGTACAAGTGTTAATGTTCTCAGGTAGCTGAAATGTGAGTCACTCAGTACTGTTGATGGTAACTCTGAACTGTCCTTTTATTCTAACAAGTAAAATATGTATTTTTGTTCTTTGAAGGCTTCCTTGAACAAGGCTTGCTAGTTCAGGATGAAAAGAAATTACGAGATCATTATACCAAAACTCTGCAGTTCAAACTGGACGTGCTGTCTCTTCTGCCAACAGACCTGGCATATTTGAAGTTTGGTTTGAACTATCCTGAACTGCGATTCAACCGCTTGCTGAGGATTGCTCGTCTGTTTGAGTTTTTTGACCGTACAGAAACCAGGACAAATTATCCAAACATGTTTCGCATTGGAAATCTTGTCTTGTACATTCTTATCATCATCCACTGGAATGCATGTATATACTTTGCAATTTCGAAGCTCATCGGATTTGGAACGGACTCTTGGGTCTACCCCAATGTGTCCATTCCAGAGTATGGGCACCTGTCTAGAAAGTACATTTACAGTCTGTACTGGTCAACGCTCACACTGACAACCATTGGAGAAACACCTCCCCCCGTGAAAGACGAAGAGTATCTCTTTGTTGTCATTGACTTCCTGGTGGGTGTGCTCATCTTCGCTACCATCGTTGGTAACGTGGGCTCCATGATTTCCAACATGAATGCCTCCAGGGCAGAGTTCCAGGCCAAAGTGGATTCCATTAAACAGTACATGCATTTCCGAAAAGTGACTAAGGATTTGGAAGCCAGAGTTATTAAGTGGTTTGATTACCTCTGGACCAACAAGAAAACAGTGGATGAGAAGGAAGTTCTCAAAAATCTGCCTGATAAGTTGAAGGCTGAAATTGCCATCAATGTCCATTTGGACACACTGAAGAAAGTGCGTATATTCCAGGATTGTGAAGCTGGACTTCTCATTGAGCTGGTGCTGAAACTGAAACCTACGGTCTTCAGTCCTGGGGACTACATTTGCAAAAAGGGAGATATTGGGAGAGAAATGTACATTATTAAAGAGGGGAAATTGGCTGTGGTGGCGGATGATGGCATAACCCAATTTGTAGTCCTAAGTGATGGCAGCTACTTTGGTGAAATCAGCATCCTAAACATCAAAGGTAGCAAATCTGGCAACAGGAGGACAGCCAACATAAGGAGTATTGGTTATTCTGATTTATTCTGCTTGTCTAAGGATGATTTAATGGAAGCCCTCACAGAGTATCCAGAAGCCAAAAAGGCACTGGAAGAGAAAGGGCGACAAATTCTGATGAAAGACAATTTAATAGATGAGGAAGCAGCAAAAGCAGGAGCTGACCCAAAAGACTTGGAAGAAAAAATAGAAAGACTTGAAACAGCTCTGGATACGCTGCAGACGAGGTTTGCGAGGCTCTTGGCAGAGTATACCTCATCTCAACAAAAGGTGAAGCAGAGACTTGCCAGAGTAGAAACCCGAGTGAAAAAATATGGTAGTGGTACCTTATCAGTTGGAGAAGCAGAGGCTGAAAAACAGGAGGAGGAGAAAAAGCAGTAATGGAGTATTTTTGTTTCCTCATTTACTGGAGAAGGTTGAAGCATGTGAAAGCCATAAATGTATGTAAATATATGTGTGCATACATAGACATGATTATTTTTATATGAACTCAAGAGAGTGGTTTTTAGCATTTTTAACTGAAGCAGTATTTGCTTGTAAATAGACCATTATCACCACCTTCTTAGGGGGAGATTTGGTCTGGGATTTGGGTACTTTTTTGTACTGGGAGTGGATTTCCTACAAGTCATGCTCAGAACGTCTATTCTGTATGGTACGTGTAGGTCTTGACACATTGTCTCTTCCCACGCATATTGCGTTGAGCAGGCATTGCACTTAAAAGTAGAAGGGGTTGGGGTTTTTTAAGGGCCTAAAAATATTTCTAGGGTACCTATACCTTGCTACCTTCTTAGCTGATTAAATGCATGGATGCACGTCTGGGCTTCTCAAAATCTTTGTTGTTTCACAGTGAAGCATCTGCGCCAGCAGTTGGTCTGCAGCTAAACAGCAGCAGGTACGGGGCCTGTGCGGTGTAGCCCTGCACAGGTATGGGATAGCCATGAATCCAGCTGCGTTAGGCTGGTTTCTTTCTAAGGAGCTGGGCTCTGCACAAAGGACCATGCAGACAGAGTAGCAGTGCCCATCCATGTCCTTTCCGGCATGGTCTGCCACAACTGATGCTGCTCTGCAACTGTGTTGCTTGGGGAGAGAGTGGGAAATCCCGCCTTATTTTTTTTAGGTGCAACCCCATCCACACTGGTAAAGCCCTCACTTGGAAGGGAATCCCTAAAAGCTCCCTGGTGGAAGGCGTCTGTGGCACTACGGCTTCGCTAAACCTGGGAAGAGAAAAAAGGGCCCTGGTGCATTCAGCTCCTGTATGTAGGGTCTTGAGTGAATTCCCTGTCAGCAAGTGGGCAGTCCCAGAGGGAGGATAGGAAGAAACCTGCCAGCCAGCCAGCTTGTGTCTGCAACAGGGTTTCTGCAGGGCAGGGAGAACAAGCCCCGTGTGGCCAAGCGATTCC